AGCCCGGCCAGCAGCCCCACTGGACCTTAGGTAAAAAATGATAGGGAGGCATGGGTGGATTTAAATTAAAATAAAAAAATAATCTGTGAATGTCGGGGGGTGGGGGGAAATGTGTGTGTGTGTCTGTGTCTGGCTGGCTGGCAGTGTGTGTGTGTGTGTGTGTTTTGGTGGCTGGCAATGTGTGTGTGTGTGTGTTTGTGTGTCTGACTATCAGTGTGTGTGTGTATGTCTCTCAGTGTGTCTGTATATCTGTCAGTGTGTCTGTACATCTGTCAGTGTGTAACTGTGAGTGAGTGTACATCTGTCAGTGTGTGTCTGAGTGATTGTGTGTGTCTGTAAGTGAGAGTGAGTATGTCTGTCAGCATGTGTTTGAGAGGGAGCCTGTGTGTCTGAGGGATTGTGTGTGTCTGTGAGGGCACCTGTGTGTCTGTGTGTGTCTGTCTGTCTGTAAGTGTGCCTGTGAGTGTGTGTGTCTGTCAGTATTTGTCTGTGAGTGAGTGTGCTTGTCAGAGAATGTGTGTGTGTCTGAGTGATTGTGTATGCCTGTCAGTGTGTGTGTCTGTGTGTGTGTCAGTGAGTGAGTATCTGCATAATTGTGTGTATGTCAATGTCTGTGTGTGTCTGTCAGTGTGTGTCTGTGAGTGAGTCAGTGATTGTGTGTGTCTGTCAGGTTGTGTCAAATCAGTGTGTGTGTGTGTATGTCAGTGTATCTGAGAGTGTGTGTCTGTCAGTCAAAGTGTGTATGTTAGTCTTTAACATGAAGAGGTGTGGCGTTGACAGGAAGGGATGGGGCAAATGTAAATTAGGGGGTGCCCAAAACTTTGCAAAAAAATGTATGCTGATAGAATAACTTTAATAGTAATCACAGAATCTAAATCTTCTACAAAAGAATATTAGTAGAAAATAGACCCTCCCCACAGGAAATTGAACCAGAGCATACTTGTGCAAAATCAGGTGGAATCCCAGAATCTAATGAGATAGACATAACATCAAACAGAGGTGCCTAGAATGTGATCAAATAAAAATGGACACATCCTTTCACCAATGTGGGCATGTCTCTAATTTTATGCTAAGCAAAAACTTAAAGGTGTGCATGTGGTTAAGCCAGGATATGCAAAATAACACACATCTGTGGTCATTGAAGTAGTAGGACACACAAGGCAACCGTCACTTCTTTGGAATAATAAAGAGAAAAGGAAATCAGGGGCACACCCAGAACATGCATTTTGCTGCCGCAGTGACCAAAATTTATACATAACACAGATTAAAGAACATTGCACACATAAAAATACATTTTAAAATTTTATAAGGTTTATATGATTTTAAGTAGTCATATAAAATGTAAAAGTGTATTTTTATGTCTGTGCTGTTCCATAATCTGTATTATGTATTTTGGCATAAATCACTGAATAATGCACTGCAAATCACATATAACTTGTGTTAACTTTTTCATTGTGTGTTCTGTTTTCTTTAAATGTAAAGATTACACTTTCTGTAGGATAACAGCCCTATCTCAGAGTTTGAAATGGCATGTATGAAATGTACACCCTTAAAAAAAGACCTTATCCCGGTGGAACTCTATATTACTCCAAAGGCAAACACAACCACTAGAATCCTACAAACTAGCATGGGGCAGAGACATGGGATTCGAGATCAACACAAATCAGTGGAATAGGGTGCTAACAATACACAAGGGCTTAACCTCCTGTGCACAATACTGAGAACTTCAAAGGAAGATACTATATCGATGGTACTTGGTATTGGTACCAGTATTCAAAAGATAAAGTTTCTAGTGGATATGCTTACTATCTCATTTACTCCAGCTCCAGAGGTATGCTTGTTATTCATGTTGCGTGAGCGTGTGCCAAGAACTCACCCAGCACTCATTTACCACACACTTATTTCAGCCAATCTACTCATTGTAAACAATGGAAAACTACAAAAACACCAGCACTCACCCACCTTATCAATCAAACCTAATTGAATTGGAAATATGAATCCATGCACCAATACCAATTCAGAACCAAACTGGTGTTAGCAAACACAAAGGAGATTTGGGATAACTTACCCAGGGCAAGGTACAGGAGGTTTCTGTGAGATTGATGTTCAGACAGTGGTGTCAATTGGGTGTAAATTCCTGCATGGATTATAATTTACCACTAGTGACCTCCCTTTCCTCTAGTTTGACCACTCTCCTTATCATGCTCACCTGCCTGGACTAATTTGGGTTCCTACTAAAGGTAACGCCCAACTCACCACTTGGCAGTGGCGTACTAAGGGGGGGCGGGGGGGGCGGTCCGCCCCGGGTGCCAGCCGGGTGGTGCCATGGCCAGCCCCCCCGCCCCCCCCCATGCTGCAGCCGCCCGAGCGCTCTGTAAAGAGCCTCGGGCGGCTGCAGCTTTGCCCGGGCGGTGCGTCCATGAGGGCGGACCGCACCGCCCGGGCGCAGCCTGAGGAGAGGGGCTGACAGGAGGGAGCGCCTCCTGTCAGCT